TTTCTTGTTTCTCCTAAATGCTGTACTTCTGTTCCCTTAATTTGAATGAAAGAAAGCATCCTATCTGCTCATGGCTGTCAGAAAGTGTCTGGGATCTGGACTCCTACTTATGGAAGTCATTTTTCTTTTTAAACAGGAAAAATAGGATCCCTGGTGATAGGCAACCCTATCCCTTCACTGGGGCTGGGTTAGCAATCCATAGGCAGAGCCCTTGATGTGGACAGGGACAAAAAAGGGCATTGTGGTCTGATAGCCTCACACTTCTCACTCCACAGTCAAACACACATACAGAGGCTTGGAACGGCTCCTTCCAGCCTGCTGGAGCTGAAAGTTCTGAGTCTGGCCTCAGCAAGTACTGTATTGCAGCTTGTCTCTCTCCTCCAGGCACTGCCCGTGGTGTTGTCATTAACACTGGAGATCGCACTGTGATGGGCCGCATTGCCAGTCTGGCCTCTGGACTGGAAGGGGGGAAAACCCCCATTGCAACTGAGATTGAGCACTTTATTCACATCATCACCGGAGTGGCTGTGTTCCTGGGCATCTCCTTCTCCATCCTATCGCTGATTCTTGAGTACACATGGCTGGAAGCTGTCATTTTCCTCATTGGCATCATTGTAGCCAATGTCCCGGAAGGTCTGCTTGCTACTGTCACGGTAAGTTCTTGGGGAAAGGCAGAGCTAACATCACTTAAAGCAGCTACATTTAACACTCCTCTAAGAAACCACACTACTGGATGTTCGAAGACACCACCCTCCCCAGTTCAGTACAGGGTATCGTAATTGTAGAGTAGTATCCTAGGTCAAAGTGGCTCTGGCCAGAAAGCCGATGTTCATCCAGGAGACAGACATCATGCTTCTGTCTAGCATCCACTTATCTAGATAGTGGGTAACCCAGGTGCTGAGTTTAGCACAATTTTCAGGCTGTTTGGCGAGTACAAGTCAGTCCTAATTTGCCAAATAATATTTAAAAATTGGCATAAGTATATTCACCAACAGGGACCTGCCATCTTTAGCTGAAAGGAACAAAAAGAAGTCCATCAGTTTACTCCCTAACATGTTGGAAAGCAGGAGACATTTGGTATATGGCTAGTAATCTTACTACCTCCAGCAGTTTTTTAGAATGAAAGGCACATTCTACCAACTTTCTTTTTTTTTTTTTTTGGCCTTTTGGCTGTGTTTGAATTGCTGGGAGGGAAGCATTAGGCCTTACATTCCTGGGTCTTTTCTTTCTTTTGTTTTGTTTTTAAACCATCTGAAATGTTACCCAGTTCTTCAAAAATCTCTTGCACTTGAGTCATGCTTTTACTCTATGGAGTGTCACTCTTTCTGGGCCCAGTGATATTTTGAGAATAATTTATGAAAGAGGAAATACGTACCATCTCCATTTAATACGGCTATAAATCAATGAGTCTCCCAACTGCCTAGTTAATGGAAGGGGTGAATGCTGCTTCTGGGGAAAAAAATGACAAGAATCTTCTGATACTTGGGCACTGTAGAACCCACTTGGTACACAAGCATTTATCTCATCCCATCTCTCCTCCTCCCCCAGGTGTGCCTGACACTAACAGCCAAGCGGATGGCTCGTAAGAATTGTTTGGTAAAGAACTTGGAAGCTGTGGAAACCCTGGGCTCTACATCCACCATCTGCTCGGACAAGACTGGTACCCTGACTCAGAACCGCATGACAGTTGCCCACATGTGGTTTGACAATCAGATCCATGAGGCTGACACTACAGAGAACCAGAGTGGTAAGAAATTTCGCTTGGTACTTAGTCTCTGACTGAAAATGTATGACTTCTTGGAAAGCCTCCTCCTCTTGTTAACTCCCAAATTTTGTTACCTCTAACTAGCCAGGAGGACTCTTTGCATCCCAGTTTGCAGACTGTTAAAAGTTTTGGGGGGGGTTGTAGACTTCTTGGTAGATAAGAGTTCCAGGCTAATTTGTATGGACCTTCTACGTGCCCCCTGCTTCAAGCTATGCTTCTAATAAAATGTATACCTCTTGTTAGGCCAGTGACCATTGGAAAGATTACTCACTATACTTGTACTGAGTTTTAGATTGATCCATGACCTTGATAAGATGTGGGTATTTTGCCAGGACCTATCAGCCTTGCAAGTAAGATCTTAGGGCACCTTTACACATGCCCCAGGGTTGGGGGGAGGGGGTGCACTCTAATTGAAGCAGCTCTCGGGAGCCACTTTAATTAAAGCATCCACAGCATCTCATGCTTCAGCATCTTGTGCTTCAAAATGGCAGCAGGGGTGCTTTAACTAAAGCTCATTTGACACATTAAAGTGCCCCTGCTGCCAATATGAAGCAAGGGGATGCTGAATACACACAACACCTAGGCCGATTAGCACACTCCAGACTTGATTAATTGAGTCTGCTCCAATGCGTGCTAATTAGCATGTGTCGGAGCAGGTGCCTGTCGTGTGTAGGTGCTCTTAGTGTTTTACAGATACATTACACAATAGCTTTAAAATCCACTTTCTGAAGGCACCACTTTCCAGAGTTGTGAAATATATCCACTTAGCACTCAATTTCCACATGGGCTGTGAGTAGGGCTATGGCTTTGTCATATAAATTGACTTTGAAGAAACCTTTGTGATGCCTCCTGTCACTCAGAGTACATTTGATCATGGGAGATGCAGTTCCACCAGGGGTGTTGGGCTGTAGAAAAGAATGGGGACATCCACCCTCCAGACTACAACTCCTGGGGACAGTGCAGTCCAATAGGGAAGCATGCAGCCCAGCAGGGAAAGGTTACTGCTTAGCTGTTGCAAGCCTGCTTTAACTTACAAATATGGTGCTTTTATTTTTGTTGTTGTTGTTGTTGTTTTTCTGCCGTGAAATCTTAACTATCAGGCCAAAATTGTAGACTTCACTGAGAGAGCCAGAGCGTATGTAGCTAGTAATTTGTTTGGTTGAGACAGCAGAACTTAGCAGACTAAGCAGAAAGTCTCCTTCAGCTCACCAGTATCAGTCCTGATTCTGCCCCTGCTGGATATTCAGAGAGTATTGCACACAGAGCGATGTGGAAGACTGCCTTTCCCCAGGCCTGAATCTCACTTGTCCAAACCAGTTCAGAGAGCAGCTTGGTCTGGCCCACGCTAGTACTTCAGCTACTTAACACCAGTGCAAAGCTATAAATGCAAGGCATTATTTGGAAGCACTTGAGTGCCAACGATCAGCCTGATTATAGTAGATATAAACCAGCATTTGTTCCTGAAAGAAATCTTCCCAGCTTATCAGTCAAATGTTTCCTTCTCAACTAGCAGTTGGCTTCTTAACAGCCTTTTGCTTAGTCCTTGCCTCTCAGGGAAAGCATGTTAGATTTGTATCTTTTGAAGCTGTTCCACAGTCTGTATGGGGTAGATGCCTTAAGCATCATTCTTCAGAAATAACTATTAGATCTATTTTCCATGTAACTGGGTAAAGGGAGAGCAGTGGTAAATCCAGGAAGGGAACCTATAGAGAGGATTCCTCTATCTGATCTGTGGAAGGAGGAGTTCTATGTCTTACTAAATTGCTTACCTTGGCCAGTCTGACCTACCAAAAACAACTAGCTTTGAGTAGAATCTAGATGATCCTGGCCTGTTTTTGCACTTGGTTACACTTTCTCAGGCATTTCAGTGCTTATGCTTTGCTCCCTGGATTCGTCAACTCATGCCTAGTTTGAACCTAGAAGCAGTGGAGTCAGCCCAGAACTCCAGGAGGACCAAAGTGAGCTTTCCCACATTGAGGTCAAAAAGGGTCAAGACTTTGCATCTGAGTTTAACAAAGCCTTTTAATGGACTAATTTGGCAATTTCTTTCCCCTCCCCCTGTTTGCAGGTGCCTCCTTTGACAAGAGTTCTCCCACCTGGAGTGCATTGTCCAGAATTGCAGGTCTTTGTAACCGTGCTGTGTTCCAAGCAAACCAAGAAAATGTACCTATTCTCAAGGTGAGTCTGGCAAAAGCATCAGTCTGCTGATTAGCCATTTCTTTTAGGACTTGTTGGATACAATTCTAGTGTCCCTCGTTTCTTTGGAGGAGAGGGCCAACCTCATCTGCACCCACAAAGGAAACCTTGGGGAGACCTGTGTTCCAGGCAGAGAGGTAGTTCTGGAAGGGGGTTGATGCATAGCTGTAGCATCAACTTTTCTGCCTTCAACCAGTTAGAACACAGGTGGACCATGTCAGGGGTTTGAAATATGCTAGAGGAAGGTCTTTGTGGGCATCTTGGTGGATTCTGGAATAATGAGGAAATCCCAAACAAGCTCAGGGACACCATGATTATGACAGTCTGACTGTAGAAACTACAGCGATATCGCCTTGCTCTCCACCACAGGCAAAATCATTGCAAGAACCCTTACAGTGTGAGTTTAGGGCACTGACATGATCTTCATAGCTCGCCAGCTGCAGGAGAAATGCCAGGAATAACATAAGTCTCTCCATATATGGCCTTCTTTGACCTCACGAAAGCTTTGGACTCTGTCAGCTGAAAAGTGTTGTGCAGGATCCTTCTGAAGTATGGATGCCCATCGAAATTTGTCACCATTCTCTGCCTGCTCCGTGACTGTATGCAGGCTCTCAGTAATGGATCCATCACGGATCCCTTTGATGTTAAAAGCAGGAGTTAAGCAAGGGTGTGTCTCATCACTCCAACTCTCTTCTCAATATTCCTTGCTGCGATGCTGTATCTGACTACCAACAAGCTTCCAGCCAGAGTGGAGCTAAACTACCAAATGGATGGTAAGCTGTTTAATGTAAGCTGACTTTGAGCCAAAAGCAAGATCACTCCAACCTCAATCAATGAGCTCCAGTACACTGATGATACCATAGTGTGTGTTCACTCAGAAGCAGATCTTCAGGCGATCATCGACATCTTTACCAAGGCATACAAGAAAATGGGACTGGCGTTTAACATGCAGAAGACTAGGGTCCCCCATCAACAAGCTCTTAATGAGCAGTCCCCAGCTCTGATAATTCAGATCTACGGTGAGACTCTGGAAAACGTTGAGTATTTCCTGTACCTCGGAAGCCATCTCTTGCAGAGAGAACTACCATCAACACTGCCTGCGGAAAATCCTTTGAATCCATTGGGAAGACAGACACGCCAACTTTGGTGTCCTCCTGCAAGCAAACGCCAGGAGTATTGAGGTGACGATCATCTGATATCAACTTTGTTGGCTTGGCCATGTCATCCAATTGTCCTACTGCCGATTCTCAAAAGAAGCTTTATTCTCCCAAATCGGCCAAGGCATATGCTCAAGAGGAGGGTGGAGACAGTGCTTCAGGGACATCCTCAAGGCCAACTTAAAAAAATGCAGCATCATTGTCAGCTCATGAGAGACTATCGCCCAGGACTGCCCCAAATGGAGGGAGAGTCTGCAGCAGGGATCCTCCGTACTTTGAAACCTCACAACAACAATAACAGGAGATGGAAAAGTGGGAGGAGCTTAAACCATGTATAGTAGACCAAATCAAGAATCCAGTGCCGCCCACCCCACATGGAAACACATGTCCAAACTGCAGTAGAGCCTGTCAATAGGCCTCAGTCATCTTCATACATACATTCATCTTTGACTGTGAGGGATTGCTAGAAAGAAGAGCGTGCCTAATCCTCCATCGAACCATTAATTCCACATGGAGAAGAATGTAGTGGGTGTTGCATGCTAAGTTGCAAGCAAGCCTTGGGCTGAAATAGCTGTAAACAACTAAGCTGCATAATAGATCAGTAGTTCTCCTTGTATTCAGGTTCTTTATGTAACAGGTGTTAGTCTTGTTGCTTGGTGATCTACTCTGACTATGTAGTGATGAGGGTGGCAGAAGAATTGTGCTCGACTATTTTCCCATTGCAGCCTTGTGATGAATCCATGTCCTCATTGTAAGGCCAGTCATTTACCATCAAAACTTGGGAGCTAACAAGTATTTTTTCTTCCTGCTTCTTGCAGCTTTAGAAGCTGTCAGATTTCTCTGATGTATTACCTGCATGCCACAGAACCTTGTTAGGTTGTAACAGTCCCTGCATTGTAGGAGAGAGATTTCTATTTCTGATTTTGCTTAGAAAACCAGTGTTCTCTCAATTTGTAAGGCCTGTCTCTCTTTCTCCTCAAACGCAGTATTTGTGGCCAGTGCTGGATAATGAATTAGTTATCCATCATTTCTCTGCTGTCCAGAGCAGCTTCGTGTTGAAGCTGGGCTGTGTCCAAGATGAATAGGCCTTGTTTTATATAAGCTCTCATGGGCTTAATCTGTGAAATTTTGCTCTTTTTTTTAACAGAGAGCAGTTGCAGGTGATGCCTCTGAATCTGCACTTTTAAAATGTATTGAATTGTGCTGTGGTTCAGTCAAGGAAATGAGGGGAAGGAACCCCAAGGTAGCTGAAATCCCATTCAACTCCACCAACAAATACCAGGTAAGAGCATGGCCTCTTTTGGGAAGAGGAGCATTTCCTTGCCTGACTTTACTGATTAAAGAAGCACAGAGAAAATGTCTTGGTTTGTTTCTCACTGCACTACAGTAGGATTGCATAAGACTTTATTATGATTTGAGGTGTTTCTGATACAATCTTGGCTTATGTAGGCTGTGTGAAGGGAGTCTCAGTGAGGCTGAGCCCAGGGACTGGATGAATTGGAAATATGACCTTAAAGAGAAAATACATTCAGTTCTTCATGTCCCACTCAGCTGAGCAGAATGGGGTTTAGATCCCATGTATCATGTGGAAGGCTGAGTGGGCATTAGGCACTTAGTGTGGCTAAGTGGGAAAATGTTCCAGGTTTGGTGCTTTTAGACACAAGGGCTGAGGCTTCCTTGTTTTCAAAGCATCTAAGACTGTAATCTGTCCTTCTTCCCCCACCCAGCTCTCTATTCACAAGAATGCTAATGCCTCTGAGTCCTGCCACCTCCTGGTGATGAAGGGTGCACCCGAACGGATTCTGGACCGCTGCAGCTCCATTTTGATCCATGGGAAGGAGCAGCCCCTGGATGAGGAGATCAAAGACTCTTTTCAAAATGCCTACCTCGAATTGGGAGGCCTCGGGGAGAGGGTACTGGGTAAGGAAGAGCAGCATGTCACCAGTGATTGTGCCTTCAGATATGGTGCTGTGGAAGCAGTGTAGGGGTCATGGGCATTTCTGGCAATGCAAGTCTGCACACAACTCGTGAGGACAGTTCAGCATTGGCTAGGGGGAGGTACCACCTTTTGGCATGAAAGCGCAACCCATATGGATGCTGGCTGGTTTCATTCTTCCCCAGCAGCCCAGTCACTTGAACCAAAATGAAACCATGTGTTGTAGATCATGTGCTTTTCATGAGCTGCTTTATATGAGACCTGTTCCATTTCCTGATGCTGTGGAGCACTCAAGCACCTGATACTGACACCTAGATAGCAGTTTCAAAAAATTAGAGCATGGCTGCTGCTGAGTATCTCTGAATAACGTTGACAGAACTCAGCCTTACAAAGACCTGCTATCATTAACCCATTGTGAGAGCACTACCTGCACTCAGCCCTAGTGATACCAGCTTCATGTCATGCAAGAATGAAACGAGCATTGGTTTTGCTCTGTTGCAGGTTTTTGTCAATTAGCTCTGCCAGACGACCAGTTCCCTGAAGGCTTCCAGTTTGACACCGATGATATGAATTTTCCTGTCGAAAAGCTCTGCTTCGTTGGGTTAATGTCCATGATTGACCCACCCCGTGCTGCTGTGCCAGATGCTGTTGGCAAATGCAGAAGTGCTGGAATCAAGGTAGCTTTTCTTGTGCTTCAGGGAAGCCTACACACACAGGTTGGAGAAGTCCAATTAAAGAGGTGTAGAGGGTGCTCTTGTGTTGCTGTTACACCTAGGGTGACTCCAGGATCTTTTATTTTATCTGGAAAAGTATAAGAGAAGCCAAAGCAAGTTCCTCTCGACAGTATACCGGTTTATGGGGATATTATCAACTGGGCAACATTACCAAGAGCAGCTACATATAGCAGCAAATACACAGACATACTCACTACCAAGTAGTGAAGACACAGGCCCCTCAGATGGTTTGAGGCAAGCTCCAGACTCCCACCCCTGTGTCTGTGGGATGAAGTTTTATACAGCTCAAGTTCAAATTTCTTTATTCAGATCCATTTGTCTGAGAGAACGATCTCTTGGCCAATTGATTATGAAGCAAGGAAACTTGAGCCATGACCTGTGACCGTTGTTCTTTCCTGGGGTTTTCTTATCATTGGGTTTGATCACTGGCCTATGCATTTCAGCTTCCTTGATACTGTCCATCACCATCCACATTTTCTCACATGCCAGTCATTGTGATTCAGACTGACCTGCTTTTGGGATCAGAGTATCTATGAGCAGGAA